TTATATTGTATTGTATTGTATTATATATAAATGATTATGAGAAAAATACATTTGAAAGAAATCATTATTTTTTATACTTATCGTGAACGAAAAATTCATAGAATTTTGTTTTGTTTTCATGCGAGAAACCGCAGAACCGCTTTTTTACATTGAGCTATATAATTCATAGTGTTCTTTACTATTGTATCTCGATATGCGCAGGCGCAGAATTATCCCCACCACTTTCTAAAACTTCGGTTTATGTTTTTTACACATTGTATCGGGAGAAAGAGTCGAACATCGATTCTTATTTCAGTTAAATTTATTATATTTCATTTTCAGTAAAGAATGAAAATATAATAATTGTATCGATAATTCACTATTATAATTTTATGATTATATCATTTATGGTTGCATGTAGTGATATAGTGAACATTTCTTCTTTCTTATCGTCGTAAATAAAATAATATATTTAATCTCGCGATCTATTGAAAGAATAATGAATTAATATCAGATTAAAAATAGTGTTTTCAAAGATTATTGACATGATAATTCAAGATATTTCACATATAATATACATACATATATGTAATATTTCAATGATTCTTGAAATTTTTTTTTTAATTTGATTTTCATTCATTACTTTCTTAAAAGATAATTATCTCTAGATAAGACATCTTATTTTATTTATGAAGATAGCTATGAATAAGTATCTACTAAAACTATCATAAACCAAACGTCAATTTTAAAGTATCAATAAAAAACATTATAAAATAGTTTAATAAAACATATTGTTACAATGTTTCTAATAAAAGAAAAGAAAAATTCATTCATTCATTCAAATAGGTTTTGTCTACAGTTTAATATATAATATAATTTAACTTTTTATTATTAATTATTGTAATATATGTTAAGATTGTAGTTAATTATTGCAACATATGATAAAAATATATACATTTAAACATAGTTATAATATGATGAATATTTTCCATGATCAACAATCTGGTTATTCTTAATTGTTCCTTTATAAAAACAAATACACAATAACGAGGATAAGTTTTTTTTTATTTAGTTACCGCGTTTATTTTTTTATAAATAATTTTTAATTTGTCGTAAGGATGATCGTTTTTTTTGTTTTCATTCTTCTGTTTTTTTTTGTGTGAATAATAAGAAATTCTGCTATTTCTTTAATAGATCCGTGTAGTAATTGATTTCAATCATGTTACATTAAAGTTTTCTTTGACTAGCCAGCATGCCTAACGTGCGTTTGCTTCGTTTGCCGTTTGTGTTTGATCTTTCTAAATCTACAAAGTTGGATTTTTTTTGTGATTCATAAAACTGCCAATTAAATTTTATGATCGTAATAACGATTCAATTAAAAATTGGTATAAATTTAATGAATAGCGGTTATCAATATATAATTTGTAAGAATTCATAAATATTCATATCATTGCATAAATATTATAATACGTGATCTCTCTTTTTAATTCTAGAATTTAATTTTTTAAAAATTTAAATATAATTAATTAAGAAATTTAATACGGATAATTAATATTTAATAAAACTAATATCTTGTAATGTATTACAAGATTTTGTTTAAAACTATTATAAATATCAACATGCTTTTTTAAATTAACAATCATTGATATAGGATGTAATAAATTTTTAATATATATTTTGAAATTAAAAAATTTTTTTTCATTTTCTTTAAACTAATTTTTTGTTACTTAAATGGCTGACATCGTATCTAATAATATTTACTTGAAATATTTTTTCTATTTAAGAAGTTTAAGAATTTAAGAGTTATAATGAAGCTCTTTTACATAAAAGAATAGAAGAAAAGAATTTATGTCGCATATTCAGTGATATAAATTTTTTTTTTTTATATATTTTAATATAGAATATTCTTAGCTATTATTTTGACTTTTACTTTTCAATTATATCGAAAAAAAATGTTTCAAATAATACATTAGTATTTATGAATTTCAAAGCTTTGCTGTTTTCAATATATATTTCAAAGAAAGATATTTTTTGAAAGTCGAAAGTTCAAAAATATTTGAATTGCTGTTTTCTAGTTATATATTGTGCAAATGTCAAAGAAGGAACTCTTGAAAAAAGCACGTGACGACACGAGCGACTCCATTCTAAAGCATGCCGGTATTCGGTTGAACCATCGAAGACAATAGACGCAGTCCAGTTGTGACGATTTCTCGATACGTGCCGGATGCACATTATGCATCCCTGTCGATACAACAGTCTCAGATTGACGTCATTGCGATTCTCCTTTTTTCGAAAACTCGACTCGAGTCGGTTTGCTGCGGTTCAATTTTGATCAACCGGTTTCTATATTTGCACAGATACACACACGCGCATGCGCGCAAAAGTATTCGAATATTGCTACTGAAATATAAAACAATAAAAATATATATATTAGATTTAAAAGATAATTCTTGTAAGATATAAGATATGAAGATAATATCTTGATATAAAAATTTCAAGTGAATCAGATAATACATACATACAAGAATCATGAAATATTTACTGCAAATATATATAGACATAAGGAAATCATAAAAATATTATATTTATACTTATTTGATTATTATTCATGTTCATATTTTCAATTAATTTTCGCATGAAATTGATATGTTTATAGTATGGCATATTTTAATAATCTTCTATTTACTTCAAATAATAAATAATAGAATTAATAGAATTAATCTCTAGATTTTATAATGGAATGTTAAGATTTATGTTATATACATGTATCTATCTTACAATTATTATAACATTATCTTCGAAACTTGAATTTAACACATGTATTTTCATTGTTTAATATCTCTATAGCAAGCATTCGAATACTTTCGCGTATATATGTATTTTAGGTATGCGCAAACGTGGGCGTTGCGCATTGTGTGTGCGCTGCAGTGCGCAGCTATGCAGTGCCATGCGCGCGCGTTGCACTTGTAGCCCGCATTCCGCGTTCGGTCGCTTCTCGAGGTCTCGTCATTCTTTGTGGAAAATTCACCGTTCGCTTCCACGCCACTTTCCCTCTCGGCCAACCTCTTCCTACTCGTGGATCGGATTACATACTTGCACACGTTGCTTTTGTTACATCAGTTCTTATTCTCTCTGTAACGTCTAATGATTTTTTTTGTCTCGCCTCTATGTGCTACTATGACGAATTTCTTTCTTGATAGGGAATGATAGATAAAAAGAAAGAAAGAGTTATTGTCAATAATTTTTCTGATAGTGATATCACGATCAATATTTTTAAATGATAAGAATATTATACATAAGGAAATGATAGTTATTTATTTTTGAAATTTTCAATTTGAAACTTTCTGCGATTGACGAGAGTTATTAGTTTCTATTCTATAAATAGTAATCGTTCGAACAAGTGGTCGCCGATAAATGGACAATCTTCTTTATCTTGTGAACAGTATTCGGAATGATTATGACTTTAGGCGCTCTCTATCAATTGAATCGTGTACTATACATATATAGACATCAATCAAAATTGAAATTGATGATAATGATGAATACGATTGAATTTATAAAATATTTAAATTAAAACATATATTTTTATTATGTTTATATTTTATATTTTATTTAAAACAAAAAATAATTAAATTTTTTTTTATATTATCATATATGCGTTTAATGTTATAAAATAAGATAACCTAACTTAAATTTATGTAATGTATTTTGTATATTACATATTAGATATACTCATTTTTCTTTCAATTATATCAAAAAACATAATTAAAATTTGTTAATATGGTTTATTTGATTTAATAATTAATAAGTATTAATTTCTAAAAAAATGTTAATTATTTTTTTATAGATTATAAAAATAAAAAAAAAACATCGAAGAATTTATGTTTTTATGGAAAAATATATTTTTAATAATTATGAAATTGAAATATGTAATATTTAATATTTGAAAGTAAAAAGAATTTAAGATTATTCTGAAAAATTCAATCTTATTTCAAGTAATTAAAAAAAGATGAAAAAATAAAATTCAAACTTCATGAATCTAGCTTTCGAAAGTACTGTCCTTTAAATCGCAAACGTTGAAAATGTTGTACGCCCACCCGAGCTCCAAAATCACAATTGTGTGTAAATGAACGCGTGGGTGGGCGGTTGAGAATTATCAGTTCTACTTCTCTGTCCTCGAGAATATTTCGTAGCAACATGGCTTTCATATTATTGATGGTTCTAGAAATTGGGTTAAAATTTGAATTGTTTGCATTTTGACGGAAAATATATTTAAAATTATTTAAAATTATAAATTCTTGTTGATAAATT